TAATATGAAAATGTTTTTGACATACAGTAGGGTGTGGGGAGGGCATCTTATTGTAAGCAAAGTGTGGTACAGTATGGTCATATGTCTGCCAGTATTTTTGGCAGTCTGGATTATAGAAAGAACATAGCACAGACAAGGCTTTTGGTAAGTCTTGAGTGTAATGAAGGGTAAGCTGGAAATATAACCTTTTCATTTAGTAAATGGTACTGTAAAATTGGCCACTCCTTTAAGATCTTTTTGATGAGTGGAGTTTACAGAAATAATTTGAAGGAAAAAAAAATTCTGAAATCTAATATATGTGATAATGGAGAAATAAAAGCTGTAATGGTACGTTTAGAATGTATTTTTTATTACTCTAGGTTCATTTCTGACATAACTTGTTTTAGTAAGCCACTGGAATGATTTTGGTGGCTATGAAGTTTTAATAGCTAACACTTGGAAAGCCTTGTAGTTTAAACAAATGTCAACTTCAGAATCACATTTCTTCCTTAAGAAACTATCCCAATTTTATTTTATTAAACAAGAAACCAAAAAAACACAACATGTGAGAGACTATTAGGAGGTAAAGTTGTGGAAATTCCTATAAAGTGGTGACTTTTTTCTAGATGTGGTCTTACTATTGTGTCACAAAGTTTTTGCTATATAAAGTATTTAATCTTCCTCCTTTATAAAGCTGTTGAGCTCTCACTTCAGAGCACTAGTCCTTTGCTTCATGCAGGACTTGAAAGAAATCCATATTTTATTATAGTTGATTAAAAGAAAAAAGAATGAAAGCGAAACACAGGCCCTGATGTTAGTTCTTATCTGGGGAAACAAGCTAATAGAAAAGAGATTTTTGGAAAACCTAAGGTTTGTATCTGTACTTGTGTTTCAGATCTTTCCTTCATGACTATAAGCATTCTCAGAGTGCCTTTCTACACCTGATAACCTTTGGAAAACCAAAGACTACTGGGAAAAACAGTATTGGAGATGGAGATAATAATTTCTTATGCTTTGAATAGAGGCCCATTTTTTAGGATCTACCCCAGAAGTTTCTGCAAACACATTGAATTGCATTGAAAAAAAAAAAAAAAAAGGAAGTTTTACTAGTTCTGGTCCAAGTCAATATTCTCAAAAGTGTAAAAACTGCAGTGGGGACTTAGCAAAACTTTTTAAGATGAAGAAATGGCCAATGTTTTAAGAACTTCTGATGAAAGAGTTGAGGCAGAGGCGCTGTTATAGGCTGGGAGTGGAGATGATGTTCCAAAGCTGCTGTGCCTTCCTCTTGCAGCCTCACCTCCAGCAGGGTGTTGTTCCCTCCTGTAGCCCCAGTGAGATTATTTGTCAGATCTAGACATGAGATAGGTAAAATTCAGCCTGGGTAAGATGTTCAGCTTCTTTTTAGCTCTCTTTGCTGTAAGGTTGCTGGAGGTGGAGGGGAGTAAAAATGAAGAACGTTTTCAATCTGTCTTTATGGAAATAATACAGAAATCATTGATGTGATGAAATTAGGGGAAAAATAGATGTAACTCTAGGTCCCTGGAACATGGGTCATAAAATCCAGTTATTTTGCAGGGAAGAGTACATATGAGTACATAGAATTTTTTTTACTGGTTGTGCTGTTTTCTCTGCATAAATATCTAAGAATAGTAAGTTACAACACTGAGATATTTTGGGTTTGTTTGAGTTGCCTTCTTTCATATATCCTTTTCATAGCATGATTCATCTTTTGCTTCATTCTACATACTGCTGATTGTAAGGTGTAAATAAGTAATCAGCGGCTGCAAAAAAGGTTGCTTGCGTCCCCTCTGAGGTTGGGAATATGTCTGTTAGATGTTTCGAAAGGTCTTTTCTGAAAAAAAAGATACCATTTTTAGGAAATAATGAAATGGACTTTTCCAGAATAGTGAGATACAGTCATATTTTTTTGAAGGCTAGTTTTAATATAGTATTTATTTTAACTGCTTATTAGACTGTGCTCCTGTTTTGTAACTAAGAACTAAGATCCTTCAATGTTTCATAGGCACTGCTGTATCTGTCCATGTCTTAGTCTTATGTGCTGAGTTTTTACACCTATATGAGATGCTGCTCAAGGCCCAGAGAGATTACTTGGTGTCGTGAAGCTGACATTTTCCCAAAATTCAGGAGAAATGCAGGGCAGCAAACCAGGTTATCTTTTTAGAGGTGAATGCTACTTGCATGGACTTTAGTCTCCCTGGTATTAACAGGGGCATTTTCTTCAAGGAATTCTTCATTGCATTTTATGCCAAGCACTGGGGGAGGGAAAACCGCACTTTTGCTTAATGTTTTCAGTGTTTTTGTGTGTTAGAAATTGTTGTAAAATTGCAGCCTTAAATTTGTTGTCAGAACTAATTTCATTAATCTTTGTGTGATTTCGGTAAATTTAGTTTTTATAGTATATTGTTTCAGCCAAGACAGTGATCTGTAAACTGGAAAATAGCTATTGTCTTCTGACTTGTTTGATGAGGAAACTAAGTGAGAATTTTATGTTGGAAACACTGAAGTCTTCATAAGCCTTTATAACCTAGGTATTGAACTTCTGTCTTACAATTAAGAGAGAAATGAAACCTTTTGAGAATGGTATTGACACCCTGCAGGGAAAAGTGTCAGCTGCAAAAATTTTTACATTGTCATGCTTCTTAGTCAGAAAATGTCATTAAGTCCCATCTTTTCCTTATAGCAGTTGATTTGAAAATAACAAACCATGTGTGTGTAACGTAACTGCATTTTGGTCTGTGACTTTGATGTGTCTTGGCTGTGTTTCTGTTACTTCTGCTCTGTAACATAGAATGCATCACTTGTATTGCCATGAAAAAACAGGAAAAAAAAATTATACTGATTGAGATATTCGAATTATTAATATTCCAAATGATGAATTTCACAATGAGTCATCTCATTAATAGACCTCTCTTTGACTAATAAATGAGCAGAATCTGTTAAGATCTTCAAGAAGTTCATTGCACACTCTAAAATTGGGCATTAGTGCTTCTGATCTTCATTGCAGTTATCAGTCAGGTATAATAGCGCCAATAACATTCATAGCAGCCTACAAAATGAGTATTTGCAGAGGTTTTCTCCTCTTTGAAGGCCAGAAGTTTCTGAAGCAGTGCACAGTGCATGATGATATTATAGGGATGGAGCTTGTAAGATGGTTTTTCATGTATTAGCACCACTAATGTATATATAACAATCACATTTTTTTAAGTGTTAGAAATGTAATCTTGATACCTGAATAAAATGCTACACTTTTAATAATTTTTAAAATGTAAAAATCAGATTTAGAAAAATTATTTTTAAGGTGCCTTATATCTTCAACTAAAGGCAATTTAAAAATTTTTATTTAGTGGTTTATGTGTTTGAAGAGCCAATAAACAATGCTTATGTAACAGTACTTAGATTTACACATCAGCCAGCTAGTATAGCCAGATCTTCAGGTTTTCTTTTTTTCTTTTTTTTTTTTTTTATTTTTTGGAGGTATTTGTGAGTAGCTTGATGTTTTTGACATCTGTGTGACAGCTTCTTGCATAAGAGATGAGCAGCATGTTATACCACCCAGCTGTGTGTATTAGTCTGCACATCAAGCTGAAGAGCAGCACTTAGCCAGATCTGACAATCAAATGTGAACTAGTACTACCTATACACAGGAGTGCATTTTAATGTTCTGTGCTTTTTGCCAAGAGGCTGGTACTTGACAAAGAAATTGTCAGAATCTCTCTTCTTCCTACCTTTATTTTTTCCCTTCTCACAGATGTGAGTCCATATTGTAATACGCTTTTTTTCCCCTGCAGTTTAATGTGGTTGGTCTTTCAGATAATAAAGCCAATCTAATGTTTTCAGTGATTCCATGTAATAAAATTCTGGCAAGCTTTTAGTAATAGTCAAGTGTAACTGTTTTAGGAGATGCAACAAATCAGCATGTCATTCTCTGCCAACTTAATCTGAAGTCACAATATGCTTGGTTTAACCAATGACTTCATGGCCGTAACATGCCAACAACCTGTCCCCAAAGCAAACTGAGGACATGGAGAAATTAAAGGGCCAGTTCAGGAATGTCAGTGCTGTTCTCGGGCTTGTTAAGAGTCAGTGCTCAGCACATTGAGAGTGTGGAGATGAGTAAGAGAGAGGCACCCGCTCTTATTGTAGTTGGACTGATCTGTAAACCTCCAAAACCTCTACACTTCCTCATGATTTTAAACCTCTGTCATCTTCCTTAATGCTTAAATTTGTATAAATGGAATTAATTGTCATAGAATACACAACCGTACTCTTAATAGTTCAGCTTTCCTTGTTTATGTGTTTGCTATAAGCCAAGAGTTAGTTACTACATGCAATATTGTTTTCTTCCTTTTTTAAATAAGATTGCCAGAATAGGGAAGATTGTTTTGACCTATTTATGCAACCCAAAATGATGGTGAAGAGGGAAATATAGAAGAAAAAGGATTTTTTAATTTGATAATTAATTTTCTTGTCTGTGGAATGCTCCATTTGCGGTAACATCTAGGTGATGAAATATGTAGCTTCCATATAACTTGGTTTCATGAAAGTGCTAGTGATACCTTTTTTTAACTTATTCTGTGTTTCCCTTTGTATTACACCCTTACCATTCTTGTAAAAATTGTATTCCATTTCCATCTGGTCTTGCTCTTACAACATATACGTAAGAAATTCATGTCTAGTTATAAAGTAGGCACAGTTTTGAAGAGCATGAGACTGACATGGATTTTGGTCAGTGTAATGAGGACTGATTATCTGAAAAAGAATTTAGGAGTAAAAGTTCTCATGTGCTCAGAGACTACCTAACTTCAATTACTGCTTTATAAGTAGAGAAGTTCCACTGTTTGTTTTTTTTCTGTTTTTCCTTATTTAATGTTCCAGAATTGAAGGTAACGAGAAATAATTGCACTGTTTTTTGTCATTTTAATACAACTGATTTTATACTTCTCTGTTTATATCTTGGTTTTTGTCTAATTTTCTGTTTCAATTTTATCCCTCCAAAACAGAAAAAAAAGCTTCTTGAAGAACTTGGAGAGAATAGACTTCCATATATGACTCCAGCCGATGACAATTTCCACCAGTTGGTAATGTATTTCTTCTAACTTGTTTTAAACTAAAATGACTGTTTGGACTGAACAACAAATAAATCTTTCTTCAAAGACACACTGTGAAATCTGATACGAAAAAAGGTGTCCTGATGGCTGATAATGGACTTCCAGGTGGCGCGAAATAAGATCTCTAGAACTGAGATATTTGTGAATGAGAACTTAGTGAACTTAATTTATTTTTAGAGGTGTGCCCTGAGTACCAGGTAACATGTGTAACAATCAGAGTATCTCATGCTTTGTTGAAATAAAACACATCTCATCATTCTTTTAATTTTTTTTTATCTGGGCTGTGAAGAGACCTATTCTTTATAGCTTATGTTTGGCAAAACAGGGAGAATATTAACATAGAAATTAAAATTTTTTGGGACTTAATTTTACTTTCAAACAATAAGTAACCATTGAGACTTTGCTTACAAAGCAAGCTATGGAAACTGGAATGCCTCAAATGAAACCAAACAGAAGTAAGATCAGGCCCAGTAGACACATGAATAGTAAACCAAATGAGTGTATGGAAAAATATGATGAATTAATAGAATTTTCTGCATCTGTCTTGGATCTTTCTATATCAGCTGTAAAACACAGGGTGGGTTCAATCAGATCAAATTGGAATGCTGTAAGATGAAAAGCATAAGAAATAATCTCATAGTTTGAACAGCTACAGCGAGTGTGCTTACATTACAGGTGTGTTGTCTGTCTTCTGTTGATATATGGCCCAAAGATGTAGAAGTGTGGAAGAGCTGGAAAAATTTATAAGAGCTAAACAGATGGATTTTAGTTTTATTTTTTTATTTACGAAAACCTTAAACATATTCTTTTTAGTCTTAAACTAAAGTTCATGAAGAAATTCTTCCCCTTTTAAGACTCAGGGAGCTGATTTTTCTCTTTCGTTGTCCAGTTACATCTCCTTTTCTTTGTTCTCTTCTTCTGTCTCTGTTGCTGCCAAGAGCTGCTTTGCCCAGCATCTTTTTCTTTTCCCATCTTTGTAAATCCACATTCTCTTGGAGCTGATGTGAAAAGAGAAGGTGGAGCCAAGGTTGCCCAGGTGGCATCTCATTTGCTCAGTAAGCGTAACCCACAAATATAGAAGACAATAGGAACAAGATAAGCAGGGAGATCAGACCTGTTCAAGCCTTAATAAAGTTTAGATACACTGGTTTTGCAAATATAGAATTATACTTTTTATGTAGTGTATGTGTGCATGCTAGGTTTTTTAAGTATACATGATAAGCGTCACAAGCACCTTTTAAGTTCTGTGGTGGTTATGAAATGTTACTTGAATCACAGCTGTAGAAATTACAAGTTCCATGATGCTTAAATGCAGTACAGATGGGAGGAAAAGAAGGGCGAGAGCTTGAAGACAACAAATTGCAGAGTGAAATATCACATACACTTTAGTTTTACAGACTGTCTTTCCTGGACAGACCTGCTGTACTCCTTTAAGGATCCACCTCAGATAAAGCAGCATTCTTTGAACATGTTGGAAAGGTTAGGTAGGATGCAAGTAGAAAAACTGCCATATCCTGTCAGATATGGAAGTGCACAGCTGAACAGAAGTAAGAAATTCCATCATAAGCAAAACTTCACTGACATCCTCTTTCAATGTATCTTGCTCAATGAAGGATTTTAGAAATGGGCCCCAAGCCATAGGCTGAAAAAATGTAATGTTTAAAGTGAGTTCAGAACAAGAAAAAGGCTTTTAATGAGGTAATTCACAAGTATTTGTTCATCATAGTACAAACTATCATTTCACGATGTATATGGCAGTTTTCTTATCAAGGGTCCTTATTGCTGATTTCTAACTTTATTCTGTCACTTGGGTCCATAGGGTGGATTTGTGTGTTGAGTATTACCATCAGAAGAGAAGGCATCTATATATTTAAAATCTTGTGTGTAACGTTAAATGCAGATATGACCATCAAATGTGCTTTTTTATTTTTTTTTGTCCTGTAGTTGCCAGCACTCTGCCTACTTCTTTCAGAGTGAACAGTGAATTGACCTTTAATACTTGCTGTCAGAGTTACAACACAGAGGACATGATTACTCCCCCTTCCCCATCCCCCCGAAACAACAAGGTGTCCGATGTGAACCCGGCATTCACCCTGGATCTGATCCCTTAATGTTTTCCTTATGTAGGGCACAGCACAGTCACTGGGTGGAGATTTAAAGAAGACCAAACTGTTTTCGTGTGATGTGTCGGAAATGTGTTTCCACTTCCTGCTCTCTTTGGAGATGTCAGTGTGGGTTTTTTTCTTTTTAAGGTAGAATTCTAAGTGTACAGTGGGAAACTTCATGATAAAGTAGTTCTTAAGGGTGTGATCTTAAAACACAATCCAAAGGTAACATGCCTCTGCCTTGGCTGGCAACAAAATGTGCAAGGCATTACCTCTGCATCTGGGGGGCGAATACAAGGTTGTTACCTTTGTAAAATCTGTGTGTTTCCTTTCTAGTGCATGTTTTCAGGCATTTAATTGCTTTACATCATATTCTTGTTTTCCTCCTTCTGTGTCTAATAGTTGCTTGTAATTTCATGGGTGCGATTCATGTCAGAAATTCAGTCTCTTTGTATTTTCATATAAATGGTTTAAAAATACATAGTATTAATGACTGTTTAAATATACCACAGTAGCATATGTTATGAGGTAATTGGTTAATTTGACCTGACTATGTCCAGTGTACAGAATTCTTTAAAGAAATACTGGGATACTGCTATAGAACTGTTAGTACTCTTTCTTTTATACGTGGCATTTGCATAATGAAAGAAATAATGCAGGAATAACCTTTGTATGTCACAACATGTAATGTTCTGTCATTATGAAGTATGATTGTGAAAAGGTATTTATGATTGCCATCAACCTGTACCCACACACCTGACTGCAGCCTGTAGCTGTAAGTCTGAAATGTGCAGTTACTGATTTCAGAATTTGTTGTTCATAAGGATTTTTTCTTTGTACCCTTCAAAGGCTGGAGATGCACAGCACTGACTGAAACAAAAGGGACAGTTCAGGACCTCTAAAGGAATCATTTTGAGCTTTTGACAAGCTCAGCTGAATTACTTTTATCAAGTTTAGATTCAGTTCTTTAAATGAAAGCTGGGATCCAGTGTTCTGTGTGGGAATTGTAGAGGGACCTTCAGAAAGGTATCTGGAACTGTTTTCAAATTGGGTATTTGAAGTTAAGGATGTAAATACAATTGTCAGATATTATTATTATCTGTAGATACTGTTTCAGGTTTTTTCCCTCTCTCCAGGAAGCTAGATTTTGGAAATGTGCAAAGAAGGAGAGTTGGCTTCACTGTAAAGATTTCACAAGAAATGGTGGCAAGGGTTACAGACAAACTAAGATTTATTATGTGTAATCATTATTTTTAAAATAGGCTTCCTTTTATGTTCCATTTTTTAGTAGAAACAAACGATCCTATAAAGCCAGTTCTTCAGTGTTGTAAGATAACAGTGTGTTATGATGCAAAACTGTAACTGTTTTCATGCAGCAGAAAATGTGCATACTGACTTATTGCCTGGTTTGTGTTTTTTAAAGGCACGTTCTTTGGATTTTAAAATTAATTTCCTGAAAGGAAAGTCTCAAATGAGACTTGGAAGTAGATAGTACTAGTAAAGTACTTTTGAGTTACACCAGAAGGAGCCCACAGATGGACTGTAAGCCATTGTGGTGCTTTGTGCTGGTGACTTTTATTTGTATTTTTAAAAGCACTTTGAACGGAAGATATTAGGTCAGTAAAAGTTTCGATGGATCAGTTTTGTGCATCCATGTGCTCTTGCCCCATTGTCTAATGCCTTCAGATTTCAGTTTACCTTAACGTTTTTCCCCACACCACCACTGGTCTCTGCCTTTTCCCCAGTCTAGTGACTAATTTCTGGACAGAAGGAGATAGGTGTGGTGGAGTCCTTTGGAGCTTCATACTTGCTAATTGATACTTGATATGCTCACATTGCAGCCTTTCCCTTACTAAAGGCACTAGTTTGCATCCATTTCTTTTATTTATCTATTAATTTTAATGAAATACATAAGAACTAACTCCTTTTGAGAACTTGTTCTCTAGCATTTGTCCATTTGCCAAACAGTCTCAGCAGTAGTTAAAGCAGATTTACAGGCAACCAATAAAAGGTGTGATTATGTGATACTTGCTTCCTTAGAAAACCAGATTAACAAAATAAAATTATCCAAGCCTTCCTGGCGTGGGAAGCAGTATTGTGCATGCAAAGCAAGACACTGCTGATTAGCAGCATTATACCTTGCTGGGAGTTGTTGCCTCCAAACACTGCTGGACTCTGAACTCCAGCTGATACAGAGCTGGTATGGTCAGAAGAGGATATGAGGAAAAAGGATATTACAGGTAGGGAGCTGGGGAGGAAAATAAGTTTGGAAATTTTCTGTTATCTAAAAGGGTAGCTTCTATATAAAACAGGAAGGCTAACTGGCAGGCACTGAGGAATGTGAAAACAAAAAGGACCAGTGTTGAATTCTGTTCATCAGAATGAAACAATATGGTCTTTGCAGCCGTTGCAAAAAGAAGAGTTGTTTTCTTACTGCTTGATATTCTATTGTTTGTATATGTAAAGGTAACATTAAGTTCATCAGGTGAGCTTATATGTTCTACTGATTACTACCAGAATCCTCTGATTGATTGATTGATTGATTTATAGATTTGTCCTAGTGATACTCTCTGGTTACAGGCCACTGGTTCATACCCACAGTTTGTGCAATATATTGATATATAAAAATAAAGTAACAAATACTTGCATCTGTTTCTTCACTATATTCTAGACTCATGCTTGATAACTTGGCAATTTAGCCTTGTCTCTTCTTCAATATATGAAATATTTTGATTCCTGTAAAAAGAGTAATTATTTTCTATTGTTTGGTGTTTTTGTCTTTTTCTCCTTTAGTGGAAAACCAAATATTCCAAGCTGATTTTCCGAAAATCTGAGACAGTACCTGAAGAGCTCCATCAAATGGTACAAAAAGGCTTTTTGACCTTGCGAGAACACGATTGTTTCTTTCAAGATCTTGTAAGGATCAAAGGAAAAGATTTCCTTACTCCAGTGTCTCGTATATTAATTGGAAACCCAGGATGCACTTACAAGTACTTGAACACAAGATTGTTTACAGTTCCTTGGCCTACTGAAGGCTATGATATAAAATATTGCAGTCCTCAGATACATGATGCTTGTAAAGCATTAATCAGACTTAATGACTACTTGCATATTGAAGCAGTCAAGACATTACAAGGACAAAATTTATGTGAGACCAAAGAAGTTAAAGATACCACTGTAATAGATAGGGAGCAAAGTTTTGCTACTTCTCTTACGGAGCAAGGGTCTGTTCCAAAAGATCAAAGCGGTGTTTGTGTACCAGGGGATGACTCCCTAAGTCTAAAGAACAGAACATCTTATAACGTGACTTTATTAAATTATATGGATCCACTACAAATGCTGTACTTGAAACAAGAACCTTATTTTGGAATGGGGAACATGGCAGTGAGCTGGCACCACGACGAGAATCTGGTTGAAAGGTCAACGGTTGCTGTGTACAGTTACAGCTGTGAAGGTGAGTGATGGGAGCTGACCAGTCATATAAATATCTTAAATCCCTGAACCCCTCTTCTCTTTCCTTGTGTGTATGTGCATAAGCACACCTGCATGCCAGTCCAGGCTTGTCATGTGCTTCTGAAATGCGTTGTGGTACCTTTTGTATTTAACCCTTATCTTTATTTTTACTAAAACCTGTACAAAATATACCTGTGTTTACTGGCTTAGCAGTTGTTCTCCAAGCAGCTTTAAAAACTGGTGTAATTAACTTCCTGACTTAGAGCCAGGAAATCAAAATCTGTCAAATTCCTTTTTCAGGTTAATGCATGAGCATGTTTTCTATCCTGTAAAATGTTTCATTGTAGTTGAGATCACCATTTTTATGGTGTTATTTATCATATACAGACTTGCTTCTACTTTATGCTGTTTTTACTACTCTTCCTTCTTTGGAAAGATCATTTTCAGTTGGTTTTGGATAAAAGTATTACTATATTTATTTTGAAGTATATGCATTTTGTCTAGGCATGCTGTAGTGTTAGTGCATGTTTTATGGAGGACTTGCCAACATTTCTGTAGTTGGGGAGGGTGGACATTTTCTATTAAAAGAACTGTTATCTGACAAGCTTTGGATTTTTTTTAATGACTCCCAGTTTTGCAGAGCATAAGATTAAAATTTAGACACTTGATTTGAAACCTGTTATGTTTCATAACTCACAAGGGATGTTTTGTTCTTCCAAAAATCCTTTGATGTTTGCTTTAGAACATGGGAAGAATTCACGTTGGCTTTGGTAGGTTTTGGCTAAAGACTGTGATGTAAAAATTATAGTTTATACTTTCATGTGCATTCTCTTATTGGTTTTGTTACCAGTTATGAAACTATGGATCACTTTGTTACTTAATGTACAGCTGAAGTCATATTATTTACATTTTCCTGGACATAAAATATCAGCTAGGGTAGCAAACTGAATAAAAGGGATTTCCTGACAACTAGAAGTGTCATTTTCTTTATGAACTTTTTTCTATGCTATTTGTCAAAGGTATTGGTATTTTATGTCCAGTAAATACATTGGGTTTTTTTCCAGTAATACTGTAGGTAAATATTTTTAAGTTAAAGAAACTTAAACATGAACTTAAATAATAATACTGTGTATGAGGATTTATTGTAATATGCTTAAAAACTTTTTACTTTAACATAAAATTTGCTTATGGAGGGGAAAAAAGTGAGTCCCATTAAGTTCAGAGAGCTATAAATTAACAAATATGAAAGCTGCTGTGTTTATTCATAACGCCTCAGTTGATTTTGTTTCTTTTATTCAGCAAGTTAAATAGGTAAAAATTATGGTGTTTTAAAACCACTGCAAATTCTGTGGAAGATTTGATTGATGGGGGTATAAAGAAATATTTTGTACATTTAGACTAAAAATTATTTTGGTATCTATGCACAGTTAATGTTTTTGCCACTTACAAGACTTTTTCCTAAATACACTTACACTTAGAAGTTCATAATTTTTTCCTGGAGTGTTCGAGAATAGACATGAAAACAAAGAAACTAAGAGTTTTCCAGTGAATAAATTGATTCAGATTTACAAAAAAAATATAAAAATTACAACTTAATTTTTTCTTGTTTTGCTCCAATTGAAATTTTATTATGTGTGGGGGGTGGAGGAGTCCCTTGGCAGGAGGTGGCAATATTAAAACCTCGGTGTAACTGGAGATAGTGTAAAAGATGTTTCTTTGGGAAGAAAATTATTTATGAAGTCAGATCTGAACAAGATTAAATTCCACTTCTGGCCCTTGAGCATGGCTCAGGTTGGGTTCTTGAACTTGAGAGGGAGTTTGAGGTGCCTGGCGTGGCTGCTGAGCCTCATGAAGGATTGTCCTGCAGTGTCACTTTGTGTGCAAACAGTTCACTCATCTGTCTGTGTTCAGGCAGTGCTTGTCACTGTATATCCATGAAGCAATGACCTGCTTATTTGTAAATTGGAGGAAATGGGTCCTTTTTATAGCTTATGAGCATGGCTTTGTAATTGAAATGGCAGTAAATACTTGTGTGTGCTCAAGTTTTGTACCCAGCACATCCAGGAGTCTACTTGATTTTAGAGAAACAAATGGATTGTCTTTCTTTGATCTTCTGATTTCCTGTTTACAGATTTCCAATGCTGGTGATTATAGGCTTATCAGTGTTTCTAATATTACTCTTTCCAGTTCCATATCACTTCAGTGTGGAGATGATTTCTGCAGTTCACAGACTTTCAGTATTTCCCATATGTCTTACCTAGCTCTTAATTGTAAAGCAAGAGGAATCTCAACATCTTTTTGAAAATTGTTGTGATATCTGTTTAGAATCATGTCTTGACTTCTGTTATTATTTTCCATAAATATATTTAATTTTTGTGCCAATATCTTTGATTAGTACATACACCATGAATTCATTTAGTATCCAGTTAGCATTGAATTCTCACTGTGGTGTATAATGACTATCACAGAATCATTACAGAATACATAATAAAAAGAGTAGACGTGGTCAGAGTTTTTTTGATGGAACAATTTTTCCTTAGAAGATGTAGCTTAGAAGGATTAGTAATTTTCTGGGAGAAAACACTGATTCTGTGGAAAATGCAAACACAAATTAAGCATGTTTATTTTTGTTGAAACCAGCTTGATTCTCTTTTCTTCTAGGTCTTGCCCAGTTTTTTTGTCAGCTCTCAATTCCTCAAATTCTCACTGGTCTCTGAGGTACTCCCTGCACTGAGGATCTGTGGCAGCCTTTAGCACGTGGAAGCTCAGGCTTCCAGAGCTTCATGGCCAGTGCTGACCTACCCTGCTGCCAGTGCAGAATCCCCAGGTTGTCAGATTTTGAACAGCAGGAGCCCTAGGAGTCAAACTGCCTTACTGTGTTATGGCAGCTCTTTGTCAGACTGTTTAAAGATGCACAACTCAGGTTATATGGTTTTCTTTTTACTTTAATTTACATTTTTGTATCATTATTTGTTAGGTACCTACTTATTTGATTAAATAGTGTTAAAACAAATACTACTGTAATTGAAACCACTTATGGGTTTGTTCATTTGTTTACTGTTTGATGCCATAATGAAAATTTAATGTTTGAAACTTTGATCAGTATTAATTAGAGTAGAATCAGTTTTTAATATACCAGAAAAGAAATTTAGACCAACATAAAGGTATTGGAACAAGCTGATATTCTAATTGGTATCAGTGTTTATTTTCTTGTTTCCTTTGTCAAATTGTTTCAAAGCAACTCAAATGAGTTACATTTCTAACAACAAAACAAGGTAAACATTTTGCTTGGTGCTCATCCGAATAGTATTTGCTTTTATTTTCATTACACGAGGTTAAGAATAGGTTGTCAACTGATAAGAACAGACCCTCATAAAAATTTGAGAGGTTTCCTTTTAGGGTGCCTTTAGTGTGCTGCGTGAAAGTGCATGGGTGGCAGTCCTGGTGCATATGCAGAACCGAATAGGTTACAGAATGTGTGTTCAATTATGCTGTCACTAACAATATACAGAATTAATTTACTTTTCAGAATTTACTAAGGAACAGGAATTTCAAATTTTGACCAATTCAGCATTTTCAAAAACACATTAGCTTACAAATATCCTATCACCTGAGAGCATTAAGGTACAAACTTATTCAGGATTTTAATATAGTAAGCTAATAACCCATTTTTATTTCCTGCTGCAGTTATAAAAGTGAATTGCAATCCAGTAGAATAAGGGCATTTTCAAAAATTGGATTTTATCCATGAAAATTTCCTAATGACAAACTTTCCCTCAGGTCATTTTAAGTTTTGCAGGAAGTTTTATTACTTAGCAGAGCACTAGTTGGTTCTAAAGATGGTCTTTGAAGTAGAGACTTGTTTCAGTTACTGACTTAAAGGAGACGGAAAAGAATGTGATCACTTGGAGTGTGTCCATCTTTCTGTTACCTGGATTTCCCACAAACCGTGTTGGAGGTTGGATAAGTAGTTTTCTCTGGATTCTTTACCATATCTAGTTTGTCTTCCTGCTGTAAGGCCTGTTTGCTGCTTACCTGTTGAACTTCTGAATAACTGGCACCGTTGGTTGACAAGGTGATGCTGAAAGGTTTAACAAACTCACAGTTGGTTGCAGTGAATTCTGATCTTGAAGGAGCTTTTATGCTTTTTTCTTTTGCACACTTCTCCTTTGTATTTTTTCACTCTGTGATGTTAGAAGCAGTGTCCTAGCACTAAACCTAATGATGGCAGTTTCACTGAATTGTGAATAAAGATAATTTAGATTCACTAGAGATGTATGTTTCCTCACTATCTTAAAAGAAAAATCCTAAAACTGCAAAAGTTGTTTGAAATTGAAGTCAATTTTAACTTTGTAGTTGGCCAATAACTCTCTTTATGTACTGCTTAATGGATAAAAGTCTTTGAGTAGACATTTTTGCAGGGTGAGAGCAATTATATGAAGTGATTTCTAACATCAATAATATAATAGAAATATTGCTTGTTGAAATAACAGAAATGGTATGTAGGAAATTATATATTACTTCTTAAGAAATGAGTATGTGTGTGACATGGTCATATCTCTAACTTGTAGTTTTTGGCCAGCTGGAATTGCATTCTGAGAATCACAAATTTTTAATGATCCAATTACTTTCACAGTAATAGATTTGAATCCCTTGAATCATTTGAATTGACTGTTGTGGGTTGTGGGTGTTCTTTTAAAGATGCTCTTGCTGATTTGATCAAATACAGCCTCTCCTTCAGGAATGAAGGGGTGACAGAGTATTCTTTGTTCTTATTTTAGTGCTTTTGTTCTTGGTATATCTGGACACAGTATTCCAAATATGAATTGATAAGAGCATTGTTGGCAAATCTTGGGATTTTTGGTTTTGTAAGAAAAAATTTAAATGTTAGTACAGTTTAACTTCTTATGCTATGGCTTTTCAAGTAGTAAGGTGGAAGAAGTAAATCTGGGCAGATATTTATTCTTTCCACCAGCTGCTAAGAAGCAAAGCATGCTCTGCTTCTTCCACTTCTTGCACACAACATATATAAATTGCTATTGAAGGACACTAATAATTTATATATTTGATTAATTCAGGGACATGTGCCCAAATTCTTTTAAGTTCTGGAAAAATCAAACAATCTGTTAAAAAGAACCAACCTTTTTTTCTGTAGCTCTGTAACAATGGTCAATTGGATTTAATGACAGAGGAGATGCTTTCAGTCCTTTTTTAGCAATGTGTTGGCAGTGATTCTCTTGTCTTAAGAAATCATGCATAAGATTACATTTAGGATATAGTTTGGAGTTACAGTTTGACTTGAATAAAGAACATTTAGGTTTCAGAGTGTCAAAAAAGTCTCAAACTCTCCAGATTTTGGTGCTAAATAGCAAAGAAACCTTTTAAAACCACTTTCTGTACCATGCAACAGTAACCAAACTAGTTCCAGGAAAGCAAGTTTCATGTTGTTCTGAACCTAACCATGACCCAAATCTGATAAGATCAGTTCTTAGAGCTGGAACATCCCAGACATTTGAGCTGCCTAGTTAAAAGCATAATGTTGTGGCCAGTTTTCTACAGCAGTTACATTCTCTCCTTCATGGTTCTACCATAATTGCAGGTTTGGTGAGGTATTGTTGTTATGCTGTGGTGAGCTTGTTACCTGATTGCACCATTTTATTTGGGATGCCAGCATAAAGGTTTCTTACGGGCCAAAGTCTGTTAATCTTTACTTACCAGAGTTCAAATTTGAACATAGTTTTGTTATATTTGCATTAAGTACTGTTATATTTGACCATTTCTGTGGTCAAGACAACACATAACTTGTGTTCTTAAGGTGCTGAGTACGTGCAAGATCTGTATGATTTATGTTGAATACATATGACATAGATGCATCCAAATGTTTTCACTTAAATGGAAACTGTAATTATATCAATAAATATACAGCATTCAGATATGCTCGAGGTGTCATAGAGAATTTAATAACAACTTGTTTTTATGTAAAATTTTGTCAGTGCTACCTGGGGATATGCCACAAATGTTGTCTTTTTTTCCCTTGCTCTCACTTTCAGAGTGGTGTGCATTTAAAAGCAAGTAGCAGCTTGCTTCCATTTGTTACCAAAATAACATGGTAGGAGCAATCAGTTTCAATTGCTGCTGATAATTATAAGGTGCAATAATTGAGAATATAGAGAAAAGGAGACTGTGAGCTGCATTTGAACTCAGTACTTAAGCAATAAAAAATTTATCAAACTGCAAAAAATAAGTCATTTTAACGAGCACATTCCAAAGGTGCTGGATTTATGAGGAGACCCCAGGAAACTTTGATTGAAATTGCTGTCTCTGATTGTAGTTCTATATTTTATTGGTGCCATATTGTGAACAGTGCTGCTGCCAAAGTGAATGGGAAAGCAGAATAACAGAGAGAGTTAACCCAGAAAGGTTACTTCTTTTCATAATATCCATGATATATTGCATTAAAAATGCCTTGAAAGCCACCCTATTTGCAGTTTTCAGAAAACATTTTTCTTAAATTAAGTTACGATTTATCTGAACAGGGTAGAAAATATGAAAGCCCCTTGAAGAGTTTAGTATTGATTTTTCTGAGTATTTGCTAGCTCTTGTTTTCTCATTTGTGTACTCCTTGTTAGAAGGGCCTAGAGTTGCTCCCAAGCCAAAGCTCCGGTTGGATGAGAACTGCAGCAGTGAAGGGAGGGAATTTGGGGACTAAACTTAAAGTAAGATTTTTAACTTAAGAACCTTTTAGATTGGCTCTTTAAAAGGTTTTGGCTCTCTGCTTCCTGAATATAGACAATATTTAATTGACATAATAACTAAGATATTGTCTCAATTTTCTAAGGGCAGCCCCCAATTTAAAAAGCAATGCAATAACCATGTGAGATGAGTTGCATGAATATTTTGAAAGTGTGAGCTCAAGGTCATGTTTTGTGTGTGCCTATTATAATTAAGAGCTATAGGTCTTCAATATTTTTCTTCTAGAATTAAATGAAGGCAAAGGCTTTAAAAATTATTACATGAAAGCACATTTCAAGTGGACAGTGAAACGGACACCCACGGTTACTAACTTGTAAGCAAGAATTAGGCACGTTACACAGTTCACTTCTAACCATTCACTGCAGTTCTGTGCCAACTGCCTATTAAAACTTCATCCTCCCTCTGTCAAAATGCTCTGTTACTGTAGCCATAAAACTGTTATACCATAGCTCCCAAATACCTTGTTATAAATGCTGACTGTATCTTTCAATTTATACTGCAGTGAAGTAAGCTTATGAAAATAGTTCTGAGGGATTAAGCTCTAAATACTATTTCTATGCAGTGGATTATTTTTTCCCGAAGCTCAACATGTTCATGTTGCTTAATGATAAGAAAAGTGTTGTGACAAATGTATTGAAGCTTCGTTGGCTCTTGCACATGTTATCTAGCATGTTTGACTAATAATTTTGAGAAAAGAATGACAGATATGATTCCAAGATTTGCTCAACTTTGGTCTAGACTGTGTTTTGTAACCATTATTTCACCTTACTCTGCCTCAGTTTATGATTTAGTGAAATTGCAAGTATGTACACAAATGAAATTGCTCATAAAATGCTTTGGCAGTTTATGACTTGAAATTCTTTCAGAAGTTATCTTTTATCTTATATCAGTGTTGCTGCATTTCTAATTTTTTTCTTCTATGCTTATAGTTTTAGTAACAAATTAAACTGAGTGAAACTTAACGAAAACTCCTCTTATATATGCTTGAGAATTTCAGAAAACCTCGAGTCCATTGTGAACCTTGACTTGATTTGCCTTTACTTTGCAGTAACCTAAAGTTTTCATCTTGGTAAAGCTGGTTGCAAAAAACTTCATGATCTCATATGGCTTTTTTCTTTTTTACTTTTACCTATGGCATACTTGTGAATTTGGAAACAGTGATTATCCCAAATGGAGGTTATAGAATCTTTAGGCCTATTAAGATTGTACCAATATGGGATATCTTAAAGTCTGTATTATTAGACGAGATTTTGTATTATATGATTCTTGCCTGGTCTCTCATGTTTGTGGTGTTTTTCTCTCTCTCTCCAAAGATTCAGCTGTTGGAGAAAGCAATGAACAAGAACTGAAGGGAAGAGACCCAGCTGTTTGGCACGTAGGCTTGAAGGTAGCGTGGGACATCGAGACACCTGGATTAGCAATACCACTTCACCAGGGAGACTTCTACTTGATGCTTGGTAATTTTCAAGAGCTAAGAAGTTAAAACTTTCTGTTGACAGTAGAGAAAATTACATTTATATTTAAATAAGTTAGCACACCTTCCTTTCAGTTAGGGCTTTATTTAGAAAGACGTGAGATCTGGCTAGGGTATATAATAAATTTCTTCTACCCTGCTGACTTCCAGAGTATTTTGGGGAACTTTTTTTTATTAATGTTTCTTTCACTTCACAGCTAAGAAAGAAATAGTTTTTTTGTGCCTTTTCTATCTGTCTTTCAGTCAGAATTAGTGGACTAGTCCAAGACAGGCTTCATAACCAGAATTTCCCCATTTCTTTTGAGAAGTTGCACTGTATCTGTCCCATCTTTGTATTTCTAGATGCTTTTATGTTCTTAATGCAGTTTTTCTGAGTAACAGTGAGCATCTGCATCTGTTATGTTCAACAAATAAATTTCTGTTCTTCAGCTTGGCTTATAGAGTGGCTCCTGTATTATGTAAGCTGTAGCTTTATGTGAATGTAGCAGTCTTAAAATCTTCTAGTATCATGGTTCTTGAATTTTTAATCATTATGCCAATCTGTGGGTTATTAGTCACCAGTTTTACACCTGACACTTCTGTCCTTCTGCTACACTTTTCCATGCCTATATTCAAACATGCTATTTTCTAGTAGTGGGATTATACTAAGATCATAATGAACAGAGCTGCCTTACTCTAAGGGTGAGTCTCAATGTCTCAAGCGTAGAGGATTAAAAGAAGAAAATTAAATTGAGTTAATTTACTTGAGCAGCTGAGCTCACACACTCAGGTTTTTCCACGGAAAGAAATGAAGCGAGAACTGCTCCTAAGGTTAGTTGACACAAAATCTGTTGCTTTTTCTTTTGGGTTGTGTTACTCTTGGTTATAACTTTTTGTTTCAATAAGTTTGATCATAAATCGAACAAAACAAGAACAAGGCTTTTGACAACATCACATTTGCCTGGTTAGTGTCTTGTCTTGACAGATATCATCTCTGAGGACTGAGAGCACTTGCAGTGTTACCGGTTTGTGTTTGTGCCTTGGAAGGTAAACTCCCTGGAATGTCCCTAGAATGACCTGTCACTCCCACCTTGATGAGCAGAACAGTCTTTTCAACTCTACCTTTCACTTTTATCTTTCAACAAAGATGAAAACAGTTTATTTACAACAAGCAATACGTTTGTTGGCCATCTTAAAAAATATATACCATTCTGTGTTCTTAGTTACCTCATCAGATCTTGTGCACTGTCATCAGTGAGGTATCTTGAGTAGAAGTACTGGACTGACTTTGCTCTTAAGTGTGTTCAGACATGAACAGATCAAGTGTAAAGATGTGAGATCCTTTGGCACAGTGGTCTGGATGTGCCTCCCTTTTCTGTATTTGTGAGGATATAAAGTAGCAGCTTAGAAAGAGTGAAGTGGCAGCTAAACATTCTTAGAAAAGTTGTTGTTAATCTATTTTTGTGCAATAACAGCTAAGCCAACAAGTAAACTTCTTATCTAATCCTTCCTGACTGGAAGGTTGTGCATACGCAGCTATGCTGGGCAACAGAATCAGAAGGTGATTAATAAAAGAGGGGGTATAACTTCAGTATTTTGATTGCAAAATACTGTAGATTGTAATTGGCTGAGTTACCAGATCATAAGGGTGTTTTTTATTCCCCAGTGGAATTTAAGTGCAGTAACTGAAGTACTGTCAGGGATGCTCTATGAATGGTGGCTCAGAAAATGAGTTTATTTAACACGTAACATCGTGAGCACATTTAGATAGAAACAAAGGATTTATTTAACATTCCTTTGAAGATGAAGAGTAAATCACTTTCTTATTAATACTTTGTGAAGAGCTACAGATTTGAGCTCTGTAGGCCAGGTGTTTTGTTAATCTCTTCTGCGTTTCCATAGTCTTTGTATTTCTTTTCAATTACTTGAAAAAAAATAAAATTACTCTTCTACACAGTCTAAGAGGGTATTCCAAAATGGCCCTTTTATTAGGTTTCTGTGTGAGGCAGAACTGCCTTTATCATTTTCACTTGAAGTGAAACACAATGTAAGTGGATGTATATAGTTTTAGTGTCCTTTTTACTGTTCAGAATTTTTTGAAATGACTTCTAAGAGGAGGCACCTTGAGGATGCCATCTAAAAGGCAAAATATGAAAGCTCTGTATAAAAAGAGAAAAATTTGCCAATATAAAAAAGAAAATTTTAGATTCCTTTTTCATGTGCATTTGGACACAGTACATTCCAGACCCTCGTTTTCAGTAAGCAGAGTCTTCTTGATGGCATTGTTTTAAAAAGCAGTGGCAGCAGTAAGTAAGACATCTAGAAAATAGAACATTAAGAGAATTGCAGCTAGTAGGAGCTGTTGATGTACAGGGGCTGATTGATATATCAGACTGGTAGGATTGGTTCTGACTACCATTAACTCATCCACTCTAACAGAGAACTTGGTAACTCTGTAGGTCTGTTCTTTCAGTTGTTGAAATGGTGCAGTGCTTACTGCTTTATATGAATGCTGTAAAGTGCTGAAACATTGCTTATAATTAAAAGTCAGGTCCTATCAAGTCTTGTACCTGTAATACCCTGAGTATTATACACGAATCTTATATAAAAAAGTGTGGTAATAGTAACGTCCAGTTACAGTAACTTGTAAATCCAGGTCAATGGGTATAGCAAAGTAACAAAGAAAAAGGGGTGTTTTTTTAGCATTTCTAATAGACATTTAATAATGTTTATGTTCCCCTCTTCTTGGCTCTATAAAATGGATTTTGTTATTCTGGGTAGAAATTTAGTAAAATGTCTTAAAATTTAAATTGACACCTGCCTTCTCAGCAGGCCTCTTCAGATGAAATCAGGACTTGAAATTTAAATGTATGTTAATACTAAACATGCGGTGACCAAATCCATTCTTTCATTAAGCTGTTACAATAATATAAGGGGAGGTGGGGAGTTTAGGCAAAACCAATCAAAACTCAAAATTACTTTCAGTAAGACAGATTTTTTAAAATCACTTTTTTAAGGCTTTCCTTAATATAAAGAAAAAAAGTCTGGTGAATGACTGCAAATCTACTGCTTAAAAACTCGAATCTGAACTTTCTATCACTCATGAAACGGAAACACTTTAGCTCAATTTAGAATAATATATTGGTCTGCAGAGGAAGTGCATACTCAACCCTGCTGTCTCAAGTACACAGTCAAGGGGTGTCTAATATGAAACGTGTTGGGTGCGTGCAATAAATCCAAAACGCGTGGAGGTGAGCAAAGGGCCCCATCTGCTCTGTCCTAGAGCACGCTTAACTAGGGTTGTCATGGTCCTACTATTAAATTGGAATCTTTCCCCTAATCTTTGAGTTAGACATGACCAGATTTGCAAGCAGATTTACAATTTTCACTAATTTTCCTACCATGACTTCAAAACATACCTAGCAAAAATACATTCTGGACTCTTTCAAAGGCAGATTTACTTTTCTGCAGCTGTTTCCCATAGATCAAGCTCTTGCTTGAAGGTTAGGGTTTTAAAACAGCATGAAGATGAACTTTGAATCTTATACCACTCCCCACCCCCAGCAAATTATAGTTCGAGAAGCATCAAAAAATTGTTTTCCTAACCAACCAGAAGTAGGGTGCACACATTGCAGGGGTTGGCTTGTGGTTAAAGATAAGTATTTAATGCAAGCACTTCCACATGTATATAGTGACTCATTAAACTATTTCTAGATATTTAATCTGCTTCTATTTTCACAAACTAACTTGAACCCTCTTTGCTCTCTAGCATCTTGAACGTGTTGGAGTTTTTTAACTCTCCCCCTTTTTTTTTTTTTTTTGAGTCCACATTTAATCCAAATGGTGTTTTCCGTACTATTAAGACCTAGAACTCCAGGAATGTTATTTGTCATTACCAAACTTTGATTGTGAAGGTTGGCAAATCTCAGACATATTTTTTTTTTAAATTTTAAAATTTAGTATTTAGCCTTTTAATTAATTGTATTTTGTTTGTGCAAAAAACTAAAAATACTTCTTAATTAGGGAAAGATCATCCTTCTAGCTTTCTGTTATGAGTGTTCCACTGACCCATAATTTCTTAGGGAAGGTGACTTGCATTCCTGGTGCATTTTATTGATACAGCTGCAGTAAAATCAGTTTTGTTAGATTTTCTCCTGTTAAAGCATTGTGTGCAGTTGGATACAAGTAAAATGGAAATGGTGGAAAAGTATTTTAGTGCTTTGAAAATCGCACTGTAATATGGTTAAAAAGAAAATTCTTTATTTGTTAATAGTAGTTAAGAAAACTAATAACAAAAGTCCATTTCACTTCTGTTTGTAGATATTTGTGATGGCTAGATTTTAAAACTTTTGCCAGTGCTTTAAACACCACTGTACTTTTTATCTGCTTTGTGAAATAGATGGTAAAAAGGCAAATGTCTAAAAAGTTTAGGAAGAACAGCTGAGAGAAGATAGAAAAGACTGTATAAACCCCTGTTAATAATTATGAGAGCCATTTTCCATTGTGGTTTGTGTTTTTCTGGGAAGTACTTTACCTCCAAGTAATAAGTTTGGGGTCTTTAGTCCCCACTCCCTTAAGTAAGGTTTGACTAAGAATTTCTTTTCCTTCTGCCTTGTGTTTGTTATGACTTAATAGTCTGCAGTGACATGGGTATACAGCCAATGTTTCTATCAGAGTGCTTTGGCTCCTCACCTAGCTAGTGCTCTGATTGTGAGTTAAGTAGTAGAATGAGTTAACAGTATGTTTGTTATTTGAATGTACAGACATATCCATTAGTCTGTTCTTTTGATAAGGGCTGTGTAGGCACAGTGCCTTCAGTGTTTCTGCTGATGGAGCCCAGGAAATTCAGCTGTCTAGGAGAAAGTGGAGGTGTGTACAGAGCAGGGGCAGGGACTGAGAACAGTATCAGAGAGAAAAGGAACTGGCAGTGTTTTGAAGCAGCAGAGAGGACCATGCTGAGGTTCTGTTCTGGGAGGGACATATTTGAGAAAAAAAACTGGCTGGCAGATGTCAGTACAGGGGAGGGAGAGACAGATCTATAACATGAACCTGCTTCCACAATTTAAAATAGAGTATGCAGCATCCAAATTCCAAAATGTATCTGCTATCTCTAAATGGCAGTAAAATCACTGAGAATTTTTGCTGGTAAGGGGGCCCCACACAGAGAAGTCTGCATCCAGTAGTAGAGGGGTGGTCAGGTGTTAAATCTATGGCATTAGATTTAGCTGTAAGTCTGCTTCCTGCACAGAATTTCCGTGGAAATTTTGGCAAGTCCCTTAACCTCTACTTACCCTTATGTTTTTTTGTGTTAGTTCCCAAATTTACAGAGGTCTTAAAAAATAGAAAAATAACATTCTAGCATTTACTGGACTTTATTAGTTTTTCTTGATTGTACTCTAGTACTACTGTTTTAAATTAGGAAAATTAGTAGTGTTTTAAAATTTATAAATGTTCAAAAAGCCTGATGAGACTTTAGAAAAATATTCCGTGCAAGTGACAGCATTTTTCATAGCCGTGGGAAAGCTTTGGGAGAGGAACAGTCATATAAGCAGAAAATTGTACTCCAATTCTCAAAACTTCTTTCTTATCTAGCAGTTAGTTAATTGGCATATGCATCTTTTAAGCATGCACGTGGAATTCTTTTAGAAGGAGAAAGGATTGTGAGACATTTCTTGAAACTACTAAATACATTGCTAAGTTGGTGTTAATGGTAATTTAAAACATTAAGTCACTTCTCATAGGCACTATAGAGTTTAAATAAGTTTTGTGGGCTTTTGTTTCTGTAACAGATATTAAAATTAGATATCCCTGCCATAGTTGTCCAGAACTGGTGGCAAGGTAAGGGCCAACTGTTTTGTGACAGGAAAGACCATGTTGGCTCTGACCTCACCGCGAATTCAGGAGAACTGTCCAACAGACAACTGGCCTGCCTGCAGTTTTCCAAAGCAGGATGGAGAGATATATGTCTGCTTTTATATACATGTACTTTTTGTGATGCATTATGCTCAAGAGGCAGTGTTCTGGTTTTCCAGACCTTGCCAGTCAGTGCTTAGTCCTTTAAAACTGATGTTGCCTCCACGTGTGTTGTATTTTACCGAACCCACGAGAGCGCTGTGGCAGTTCTGACACGGGTGACCGAGGAACATAACAGCTTTGGTTTGGCTCTAAAACCAAAACAGTAATCTGGGTATACTGTTCTGTTTCTGAATAAAAGCTTTTGCTGCCAAATGGACAATGGCCAATTTAACAAAGAGTGGTTTTTCTTCTCAGTTAATATATATTGAGTAGAAAAAGAAAGCAAATCTTTACCGTAATCTTTTAAGACCTAAAATGTATTTCTTAATGTGCTTTGAGGCATGCAATCCGTGAAGCTTCAACCATTTTTGTACAATTAGAGTTTTAGATGAATTGTAAACTCTTAAATTAAAATTACAGGCTTCTTTCTAAGATTCATAAAGGATTAGAGACAGTTGGAAGCCATTCCAAGGCAGAACTCTACAATGAAAGATTTGCCAAGGTTTGGAATAAAGGTGCAAATCAAAATGTAATATGTCTAATTCTGTGTTAGCTAAATAAAACATGCCATACTGAATGGGCACTGAAAGGGGTAGTGGAAGTGTTTAGGAAGATGTGACTGAATTATCTAGGCACTGGAGAGAAAATCAGTGTACTTAATTCATATTCAACCAGATTAACTTTTATTAAGTATAATTTTTTCCTGTACTTAAGGTTTTCTAATCTGTCCCTAGATGATCTCAATATGACACATCAGCACTGTGTTCTGGCTGGTTTATCACCTCGATTCAGCTCAACTCATCGAGTGGCAGATGTAAGTATCAAAAGTGTTTTGCTGTTTGGTCCTTTGTAAAACTAATATTCTGGTACCTTATATGTAACATCATGGTGTGTTATCCAGATTTGTGGTTCATGTTATGCTTATGACTGAAATTGTTTTCTTGAACAACTGCTTTTTGATTATTTTTGTACTGAGGCCCATTTGCTTCTGTACTGGTGGTTTTCCCTAACTCCCAGGTAGACATGTCAGATATGAATTCAGAATGTGCTACATCACAGCTCATGGATTGCTGATGAAATATGGAAACCACTTTTTACCTGAAATGTTCTACAGCTGTTTTGCTGCTTCATATCCGAGTCTTAGTTGAAAGGTGATATTCATGATGAGATAGAAATACTCAAAACACACATCAGAGTGTCCACTGGCAGAAAAAAAGGCCTTTAGGAGATCAGAACAACCAAGACTAAACCTAAGTATGCTTTAAATTGTGTCCTCCTCTGCATTTGAGGATTGCATAAGCAGAATAGCTATTGAGTCCCTTGTCTCAAGAGTCATTGTATGACAACAAGGCTTCAGCCTGATACTCTCAAGTGTTAAGGCGCCTTTTTCTGTTTGTTTTGGGGTTTGAATTTTTTTTTTCTACTAAACTTTTCCCTTATTCCTTTCCATAGTGTTATCACTAGTTCTTTTTCATGTAGTATTCCTATGGGAAAGCCTAGAGAAAAATACAGATCAGGTATTGAATAGAAAATAATTAAAATATGTATGTCTTCCTTCTTTTGTTTCAAACGGATTTTTACAGATTTCCTTCCAATTTTGAAGGAAATATAGTGAAAACAAAACCAAAAAAGTGCAAAAGTGTTTTATTCATATTTATTCTCTCTAACTTGTAAGAAAACAGCTCTGTCAGACTGGAAATGGAATTTCATTTTAGTATTAGTGGAAGCCCATACAACTGAGCAAATATAGCTGATTGTGAAATACTGTCAGAAGGTGTCCAGGAAGCAATGGGAAGTATGGCATGCTTTCCTGTGATATAATTGTAAAGTAAATTTTGAGTGAATTATTTTCTTTCTCCTTTCAGTCTATGCTGTACTGGTTGGCAGATATTTGATGGATTAGACTTCAGCATAGTTTATATCAATAACTATATAGACAATTCAGGAAGCTTTACACTTTTGTTTAAAGTTACTGTTCTACTTTGGTTATTTCAAAAGCAAATTGTTCAATGCATTTTTTTCTGAAGTAGCTTTATATAAATTTTTGTTGTATCTTTACAGTGTTCTAGAGGAACATTGGAATACATATTTGGACAATGTGAAGTGGCACTCCAGAATTTACAGACTGATTCTGATTCCATGGCTTTATCTTTGAAATCCCTGGAAGCTGCAGTTGTGAAGCAAGTAGAAGAAATACATAATGAGGTGAGATGATCTGCACCGAAAATAGTTCAGCCAGGTCTGAGTGGTGCAGTCCCTTCATGGAGTTAATGACAGTCGTGTTCAGCTGCTTATGTTGCTTTGTGCAAGTTTGCAGTGTGGATTTTATGACTTTTTTACTTGGGTACAATAATGGGGATTGTCCTGGAAGTTTTCATTTTTCTTTCTTAAGATCCCTCTGCTGGTAAAGTAAGAGAAGTTTCATAAAATATTACACCGAATCTGGCAGGGTGGTGGACAGACAAACTACTCTAGTGCTTCTCTAACTGAAAAGAAGAGAGAAGAAATCAGGGGATTAGAGGGAAAGAGCAAGTAAAATTTTCCAGCAGTTCCTCCCTGGTTCCTGTTGAACCAGCTTTTTGGCAAAGGCTGGTACAACACAATTGAGAGTGTGGGCCTAAAGTGTGTTCTGAAAAAATTACTGTGAAAACCATTGTGGGGAACATATTTTAGAGGGTCATTTAGTGCTACAATATATGCAAGTGTAACAATGCACTTTGACAGGATTGCACTGAGGCTGGCAGTGCTTTCTTGCTTGAAGCTGTGCTGTATTTCTATTAAGATAAATAAGATCACTCTTAGAAGCCGTACATGGGTCATTTTCACTAAAATTAGAATTTGTGTGAGAAGTTTAAATTGCTGTCTGCTGAGGAATTCCCATTCTGTAGTGTTACTAAAACTCTGTAGAACACATTTTTATCTGTATTGTGTTTACAGTTGGTGAAATGGAGTATACTGTTGGCAAAAGATTTGCACCCTTGACTTTTACCAAAGCAGCTCCTAGGGCAGTTTTAAAAAGTCTGATGCGTAGAAGGGTTTACAAAACATTAATCAGGCTCAGTCCATAAAACTACACGCATATGTGGTTTGCACAGCAAGGGCCACATGCACAGCTGGTGTAAATTTGCACGGGTCCTTTAACATCAAAGCCGTGTGCTGTTTACATCAGGTGAGAGACTAGCCCCTGGTGTTTGCAGTCACCTGAATAATTTTGCTGTGTGACATACAGGGATGTTTCCTGTTACACATATGGGATATACTGTAACAGCAATCTTTGTTTAACTTGTACATATTGTGCACTTAGACTTAGTAGACACATTGGATCTATATTTAATTTGAAAAGAGAATACTCACCTATTTTTTCTGTTCCTTTTTGTTTATTCTTTTATCCCAAGATCATCTCTTTAGTTGAAGGGTAAATTCTGTATATGTTAGAGTGCCACTTAAATTTGATTTTTTACTGCGCAAGTACACAAAAGTTTTAGTGGCTTATCTCTAGTAAATACACATTTCTTTTTAAAACATTACTGAAATGAAAACATACAGACCTGTGAAGCTAATGGAACTTTTCTTGTGTTTAAAATCTTCCTACCTTTTATTCTGTGTGAAAAATTTTTACCTTTTCAGGCACTAACACAGATTTTAGGTTCAAACTTTCTCATGCAGGTGAAAAACAAGAACCTGTTTTGTTTCTTTAGGAATCAAACTGCTTACTGATGAAAAAGAGGCTTGCATTTCACTCCATCAATTTTTTAATATTTTTTAATGCAAAATCAAAATAGCACAAAAAGCCAAACATAGTATTAATGGAAAACTGCCACTCAATTTCCCAGTCTTGCCTGTGTATTTCTGGTATACAGCTTTCTGTGCTAGTTCTAAACCTCCTTGTGACGTTTTTTTCTTCCTCTGGACCAGAAATCATCATCTTGAAATAAGAGTATTCCCATCTCTACAGGTCGTGATCCTGATGTATTTTATTTTCAAGTGTTGTCATAACTGAAGTTCTTCAGTTGAACTCTGATAACTAGATGCAGCCACTGTTATTGATTCTATATCTTCTTGAAATGCTAAGGGTTCATTTATTTTTACCCCTCTTGCTGGTACCTCCAAAGTCATCAGAGAACATTAACCAGAGCAGAACCATCACTGTACCAAGCTAAAATATAGTAGTTTAGCAGAGATTCACAGTCTGTGCTGAAATTAACTGCTCTGCCAAATGAGGCCTGGATGAATTATCAGTGTGTACTAGAGGGAAAAAGCCTAAGAGCAAGACTCGAAGAATGAGGTATGATTCTGTGCCTTCACTTTTGTACTCCTGGGCAGGAAAATTGACTTACTGTGCTGATAAAGTGCATTTGAACTGAGGATCTGAGGCACAGATGGAGACTTAGGGGTTTTTTCCACTTTCATGGTGGGCAGAGAAACCTCTAAAAGAAGTATGGGTGAATATCTGGGGGATGTCCTTACTTGATATTAGATTTCCCGGAGTTCATTTGTCAGGGTTCTGTCTTGGATGTCTTGAGATGTCTTCCTATTGAAAAAGTAGGATTCTAACTTGAAGAGGTTTTTAGCATCTCTAGTGGGCAGCCAGGTGGAAGTTTAATATTTCTTTAGACCTAGCTTTGTTGTCATGGTCTCCCTCAGTAAAACAGCCTTCAAAGGAATATCTGAGTAATTGCAAGGTATGTGCTGTTTGTTAGATGTGTGAGTCACTTTGCTCCCAGTATGCACTTTGTAGTTGTAAGTAAAGATAGCCTTAATTAAGGGTGTTCACGTGCTGCTTGTCTGAGTAGCTTGTGGGCTTGCAGTCTGAACAAATACTTCAGTGGCAGGGGTGTAGCAGGGTGCACAGATGTAGTTACCTTACAGCTGTGGAGTTCAAGAGCCTAACAGCTCACACCCAGTCACAGTCACGCTGTTTGGCCAGTAATAATTTATCCCAAAAGAAATGATCTTGCAGAATTCCCTGAACAGGAACCTCTTGCTCCTACTGAATCACACTTGGCTTTCCAAAATACATACAGCTGCTGAGTACACCCCAAACAGAGCTACAGGGTACCTTGGGAAAACCACTGGCAATTGCTTTCTAGAATAACAGAACACTGCTGAACAGGTGATGTAAATGCTCATACCTAAAAAGAAATCTGCAGATAAAAGATCTTCACCCTGCTGTTCTTCACATTTCAAAGAAAATTTGTTTTTTCTTGCTCTGACTGATGCAAAATCTGCTAATAGTTCATGATTGTGTGAGGTACTTTCAAGGCTTCTTTTTTTGCCAGCACCAAACTGATAACTGGATACTCTCAGTGAAGTAAAACACTAGAGGATTTTTTTTTTAGTGTCTGGGTATTGTGCTAAAAATATGGGAGGTTTCAAAGTAAGTACTCAAGTTTGAAAGATAGGGGTTTTTTCTTATCAGGATATTTGCTCAGCTGTCATTATCAGATCCTGATTACCATGACTGAAACTAAGATTGAATGGCTTGTACTGCTGCTTGTGAGGTACAGGCACCTTTGCCTATAGCAAATCTGGCTTTATGGCAGCAGTAAAGGTAAAGTTGGTGAATGCACACAGGGATGTAGAAAAGTCTGGGCTAGGTGAGTTGAAGGTATGTGGTGTTAGACACTGAGGTCACTGATGAGAAAGGATAGTGGTGCAGCAGGCAGAGGAAGGTTAATATGTTTTAGCACATCACAGTGAGCTGAAGGTGTGGTTGGTGGATGACTAGTCTGGCAGAGAGAAATATAGATCACCTACATGCGTGGCTTTTAATAACCAGTACTTTGAAATAATTGACTGAGGAGCACTGCCTCACAAAATGCCAGATGCTACTGTTGGCCTTTTACTACCCAATATTGACAATAGCCTAAAATTGGCCTTTTATTATTGTTTAAAGGACAACTTAAAAATATGTTGAGATTAGACATATGAGGCCTGATTCTGAGCTTACTTGCACAGATGTAAATAATAAGTGAAGATCAGTTAGGAGATGAAAATTATTCCTCAGAGTAGCAATCTTCCTTTTAAGTCTCCAAATTAAATCTCTTTGACAAAATCCTTGGCAAGAGCTTGTTAACCTGATAGTTTTGTCGCAGAAGATGAATGGTCTGTAACTTCAGTTCCACTAAGGCTAGAACTGAGCTGTTTGCATCTCTCCAGTATTTAGTGTCGTGAGGGTTTTTTGTGACACAACTCCTACTGTTTGTGGAAGGAGACAAGCCAAGAAAAGTGCCTTCCTGCTACAGAAAAAGATATTGCTGAAGAGAGCACAGTTGAAAGCAAGAGGACCTACAGCTTGGAAAGCAGATAACCCATGTCATTGTTAAAACATGGATGTGGTGTAAAAGGTGTTTATATGTTAAATAAAAATACCAAGCAATCTTAGCATAGCTAGAATCTCTGGAGATTTTTATTGTAGAATCATGAAATATGCTGAGTTGGAAGGGACCCATCAGGATCATCAAGTCCAATTCCTGGCCCTACACAGGACACTTCAAGAGACACACCACGTGCCTGAAAGCATTGTACAAATGCTTGAACTCTGCCAGGCTTGCTGCTGTGGCCACTTTCAGGGAGAACCTGTTCCACTGCTCAACCTCCCTCTGGGTGAAAAGCTTTTCCCTGTTGTCCAACCTAAATCTTCCCTGACTCAGCTTCATGCCATTTCCTCGAGTCCTGTCACTGGTCACAAGAGTGAAGAGATTGATACCTGCCCTTCACGAGGAAGTTGTAGCTGCAATGAGGTCTGGCCTCAGTCTCCTCATCTCCAGGCTGAACAGACCAATTGACCTCGGCTGCTCCTCATAAGGCTTCTGCTTCATCCTTGTGGCCCTGCTCTGGATGCTCTCTAATAGTTTGATGTCTTTTTTATATTGTGATTTTAGCAAATGATTTTAGCAAATCTAAGTATTTATGCTTTCATGTATCTAAAACAAGAACAGAGAAATCACGTCACCCTTGCCTCAGCAAGATGGTTTTCTTTCTCAGAATCAACAGTTATCTGCTCAGAGGAGATAGTTCAGTGCAGTCACATGTCAAGCAGCTTCATGGCCAAGGTGGTGGGTGAAACACTGTTTTCCTCCCCAAAGCCCATTTTATTAACTCAGACTAGAGCTAAACAGGGATGCTGTGAGATGAGTGTGGACCTGAGTTTGAAAGCTGTATTAGATGTCAGTCCACATCATTAAACAGCTGCTTTTGCAATTAGGTTCACTGACCTCTGATGAGACCAGCTAATCCTGCAGAAAATGAATTAGCTTGTTGCTAAACTTTATGTCTTACACCTAAAAAGCAGCTCTCCTGTGTCAAATGGTATATTCTGTATAGGATCAAGATACATTTAAATTTTGGCCCATATGCCAGACTTGAATTAGACTGAAATTGCATAGATTAATGTAACAAATCAATATGACTAGTCAGAAATCAGATTGACTGAAATAGATTCATGATGAGTCATATTTTAACATCGATTTTAATAAAAAGAATTTTTTTTCATTGATTAATGGCCTTGTGATTAATTTCATGAAACCTCTTTGCCAGACATTAGGTGGTAGAGGCCAAAAAACTCAAAAAGAAGTGGGGAGAGGAAAAAGAAGTATTGAGTTCTTAAAATTCCAGTTGAATAATGATATGCTGGGCCTTCCCAAAACAGTATATACTGAAGTGGTTTTTTTTTTTACAAACCATAACCTGATCCTTCATACCTCGTTAATATTGTAGAGGAAGCAAAGTTTCCTTCAGCATTTTTTAGGAAGGATGTCATCAAACTTCTGTGCTAAAGAGTCACTGGCTAGAAGTCAGTTTTTTAAAAAAACATTCTAAGCTCTGTGTCTGCCAACTAATCATGCTATATTTTATCAACAAATTTGCTTTAATATTATTTTTATACACTGGAAATGTAAGCATTTTTTATTGTTAACTTTAATATATTGACCAAACCTTTAGTTAATGTTAACTGGAACACTTTCAGACTGCTGTAGCTGTTCAGTTCTCCCCTGCAGGAAGGGAAGTCTTAGGTGACAGCTTTGGGCAGTTTTCTTTATCCCGTCACCTTGGTAAGTTGTCTTTATTTGCAACTTTGGAATTGAGCAGGGATGAACAAATCTCCTTTGTGGTACAAATAATGATTAAAGCATCTTTGAACTTAGTGTGAAACATAAATACCACAACAAAGATATATATGGAATTCTAGAGGCCAGAACTACAGAACACTGTTTAAGAAAAGCATCTTCTGTGGTAAATGGGCTGTTTGGTAAAGGATGAGAGACTGTGATTCCTTGTAGTGCCACCCTCTTGTTCCATAGCAATTGACTGGGCTGCGTTCTAGCAATACAAGTTTTATTACTGCAAGTTTTTTCAGTCTTTTATAAGGGAAACATTTGGAAACACCCAATAGTAATCACAGTGACCTGGAGTTGGTACCTATTTGACTGAATTGTGAGGAAATCTGAATGTTCATTGTACATGTACCACATGTGAAAACCAAAAATAGTTGGGTTTTGCAACTTCCTGGGTTTGAAGAGAGTAGCTCAGGTCACAAATTGGTGTGGAATAGAAGTAAAACAGCTGGGCGTAAGGATGTGTTTAGAAATGAACACTTTGGTAACTGTTTCCTTTTCTGTGGGATTGTTCAGGTATAGCTGGATTCTTGCACTACCCCATCCTTGCTCCAGATAATGAACATAGATGTTTATGCTGTCATATGTTTTTATCTTGCAGGTTGAATTTGAGTGGCTTAGGCAGTTTTGGTTCCAAGGCAAGAGGTATTTGAAGTGCACTGATTGGTGGCTTAAGCCTATGGCTAAATTGGAAGAATTTTGGAGAAAAATGGAGATTATGGTAAGTACTAGTTTTAAACTCTAAAGCCTCTAGGGCTTAATTCTGAGAGCACTCACAATTATGTTTTTAATTGTACTGTAGTAATGGGTTTTAAACTTTATTCATAACATATGAGAAACAGAATCAGTGTCAGCCTTATACTGTCTCCTCTTACTTTTATCCCCCAGTAGCCAGAAAAAATGTGAACAAAATCAGATCCAAACCCCCAAGATTTTAGTTATTTCCTGACTTCGCTTGTTTTTAAGGTTTGACAGTCTCATAAGCTGACAGTCATATATTACATCACACAAATTGGTTACATGAAACTGCATTGTCTACTTTTTCATGCGACACCCAGATAGACAACTCTGCCAATGACAACAATGGCAAATGCATCAGAGGAAAGCTGAGAACAGAACTGGTCATCTGGAGGTCTATACCTGCACACTTACACCACAGCTACAACAAACAAAGGAGAGTAGTTTCAAGAATAATTGTAATAATGGTTCCTGTATACTTGAATGTACATCCTACTTTCCTTGAACATGGACTTGGTGGCAGCACTGTTTGCCTGCTGCTGCTGCTGTCCAAGTAGAGATTCAGTTGGGACACTGTGCTGTCATTTTGGGAGCAGTTGTCTGCTGCTGGATTTGTACTCAGAAGTAACTATAGGGGCAAATGTCTCCTGATCATTTCCATATTTCTGTTGAGATTTGCTTCTCGATCACTTCTGCTGGTCACAACATAAAGGCTCAATTTGCCTATAGTGGACTTGAAAAAATTTGTAATATTGCTGAGGATGCTGAACAGGGATGTGTGTTGAATCTCTGGAGATGTGGTGCAACAAGAATATAATCTTGAGTCCCGAGGGAAATGTTGTGACTCACTAAGCTGCTCAAATGTATTGTAAGCTTCTCCAGCAATGGCATGTTCCAGATGTGGGAAGATGTCTGGAAAAGTGGAATTTTCAGTTGTGCAATCAGTTGTCACAGAGAATCAGTGAACACTGAATTTTCCTACAAAAGGAGAAAAAGTATTTATAACTTGTTTATGTGGGGTTTTTTTCCCCTCATGTTTGTGTTCTGTTGTGCTCACAGTCTTGAATGACCTTTCTAATTTAAAAAAATCTTTTGGTTTGTTTTTCTTTCAAATGACAGCTTACTCACTTGTAACACAGGCTTAGATGAGGTAGAGACAAGAATGTTTGATATTTTATATGCATTGTGTGTTGAGAACATGGAAAAACAGCAAACTCTGGAGCTCTCAAGGGTTAGGTTTTCTGCAGTCGGTGTGACATTGCCAGGTGTCTCTAATTAGAAACATGGTGGCGTCAGTGTATCTGCTTTCAACAGGCCTCAGGATGATATTTATCAGCAAACTGAAGGTTGGGCCAAAACAGAAGCTGCTTCTAATTTAAATTTTAAAAATTGCTTTAATGTTTTATGACTTCTAACATATTACTCACAATTAATTTTAGCTATTGAAGGAGACAGAAGAGAATGTTAATTGAGAATGTCTGTTTTGTTGAGTCTCTAAGTAAATGTGATGCTTACTGTATTTGGGATTTGGAAATGGGGTGGGTTTTTTTTGGATTTAGCCTACATTTTGTCCTGTGGTGTTCCACAAGGTGACAGTAGGGGACAATGTTGAGCCGCAGTTTCACTGCAGCAGCAGGAACGGCCTGAATAAAAATACATCGAAATGTGGCATTAACATCAAGAATTATCCCTGTTGCTTCAAGTTAGCTGTAATCTCTAAGATTCCATAACACAGGAAATCAATTGCGGGTTAACAAATTCAACAGCAATTTAACATAAAAAGTGCAGTGTTTTGGTGCATGTTTAGCTTCCACAGCTAAGTTAAATCAAAAGGGTATTTTTGAAGGTACCCAGTAGTCTGCAGTTGATGTTTTTTTCTCCAAATTTATAATTTTAGCTGAATGATTGTAAAAAAAAAATAATTATCTAAAATGCTAAAAGTAAAAATGTCTTAGAATTGTTGATCTAGTTTTGGAAGAAGTTTACTGGTTAAAAGGAATTATTTCTTAAAAGAAAATATTTAAGCACTGTATTTTTCTTTTGTGTGTGAGCTGAACAATTCTTCACTTAGTTTTCTTATATGTGTGTCTAGAGTGATACAAATTCAGTCTTGGGGTCCCAGTGTGCCTTTTTTTTAGTTTTCCCCCTTGTTTAGTAAAGCAGTTATAAAGAAGGAAAGAAAGTTTCCGAAATTATCCCTGATGCTGTTAATTGTAATTACTCCTCTGTCACATCAGAACATGATATTGCAGGAAGTTTAGCCCAGTGTCTTCAGACCTGTGGGCTTTATTTAATATTTTTGTACATTATAGCAAGCACACAATTTTATCATAGTGTTTATTCCTGGCATTTCTTTCCCTGAGGATAGTTTTACTTAGAGCTCACTCTTGTGATGTAAATGTTAAACCTTTCATTTGAATGACATTCTGATAAAACATCACATTTCCCACAATATTACCTCATGAATTTATGAGCCATTAAATCCAAAGCAGTTTAACCAATCTCCTCTTTTTTCCCCTCCCTCCCTTGAAAATATGAAGGCTATTCATATGTTTGAGAGGTTTTTTTTAAAAGTCATCCAAGATTAACACGTTATCACCTGCAACATCAGGATAAATGCTCGCTGAATTCAAAGGGAGAGTTACCATTTGAAAAAAAGACTGTACAAGCTTTGCTTTCTGGGTAAAGAGAAGTCTGAAAAGCTGAAATCTCATGTGAGGTGAGCAAGTCTTGCTGTAGCTGTTCTGAGATTCAGTGGAGAGACAATTTGTCTCTCAGGGTCTGATATCATGCAAACCTTGCAATCTGACATTTATTTTAGCTATGAAAATCTTTAACCACCATACCAAATCCGTAAGAACTGCAGAAGTCCTACAGTCTTTTTGTTTGTTTATTTTGTTTTAGGTTGATTCATGTTAGAAAAGTAAAATGTAAATCAGTGAAATGTTTATTGAAATGTTTTTTGTTTGTGGAATGATAAGTAAACATACATGGTTACACTTACATATTGAATTTTTAAAGGCTTTTTTTATCATATCTAGTGTTCTTTAAAGAAAAAAAAAGGACCCTTGCAGTGCTATATGGTGTGAATTGTATTTCCTGCTTTGACAGTCCATTTAGCAATGTAGCAATGTATTTATATGGCAGTTGGCCTTAATAACCTTTATTGACTTTAGTGGGTAAGAGCCAAGACTGGCATTATTAAAATGTATCAGTTTCATTGCAGTATAAAATCACAACATATATAATTATGCTAGGTAGGCTAGGCTCCATTTAATCCCACCTATTTATGCAGGAATTTGGCAAGACAAAAAAATTGTAGAACTGAAATGCTGAGAAAAGCGCGAGTGATTTTGAGTTACACGTAACAGCACAACTGTTTGCCTACAGTAGAAGGTCTACTTAAAGGAATGAAACATAGATCTCAGGGTAGTGATTTCTTAATGGTATAACTGAAACACAAATAATTGTTACACCATTTGTTTCACTTTTCAGCATCTTAAAATAGAGCTGATGATAATGAAATGCAGCACACCTTTTATTTTGTAAATGTAGTGTAAAAGCAGAAGTATTTACACTCTGCGTAGTCATAATGAACAAGGTGGCATTTTATGCAAACTGGTATCTTTCTGCACAACTTTCACCTTGATTTGTAAAACTTCTTTAAGAACTGTATTTAGTCATGTTATTATTACTGTTATTCTCAACAACATGCTTTTATCAGTTTATACAACTGAATTGAAATCAGAGAGCAAGGCTGTTTTCTTGTGAAAGTATTTTTCTTTCCTTTTTGAGTTCTATTTCATTATTTGCTACTGTTGCTGCATGTGAAGTATGTCATAGTTTCAGCTGTAAGCCACTATTGTCAGGGGCTTACAGCCTGACAGTTAGAATTGAGTCTAGGCTGAAACTTGAGCTACAAAATCTCAGCCCAGAGCCTTTTTTTTTTTTCCCAGTTTAAAGCAAAGGTTTAAATATGTATTTAAATCAAAAGTATTTCAGTTCCTGGATAACCATGAAAAGCTTTGAGACAAAATATGCTTTTACAAGGAATTCTCCCAGCTTTTGTAGACTTTGGCACTTTAAACAACTAACCAATTATTTTTAAAAAAATAGATAATAGGATCACAAACAGGCTGGTTGGTTGTTTAGCTTCTTTCAGAAAATGCATAGCAACTTAACTGACATTTCAATTGGTTTGACCTTGCCAGCCAAAATTCAAGGAACTCTGAGGTATTATTTTAATTTGTCTTTCAGTTTTCCCATTGTACTTAGATATTGCAGTGTCACACTTTATTGGAGGGCCATGTGGCGATGGGTGATCGTATTTGCCTAATGAACTGTGAAATGTAGGTACAACATGGCAGCTCAGAGACCCAAATTTTAGCCATTTTTCTTGTCTTTTGGGGCTCTCCTTATCTGTTTAAGCCAGATCCTTTAAATAAATGTATTTTTGGCAGGTTATATTTTATGTACACTGGGAGTCAGATGTTTCTGAAAATGTATCTTTTATCTTAAACAACAACAACAAAACCTGATCCTGAAGACTTTTTTTTTTCCTTTTTTTTTCTTTTTCTGGCACTAATTTCCTTAACCCCAATATTTTTAGCTGTCACAAATACGGGAAAGGATTCAGCATTGTCTGTAGTAGAATCACTAACAATCTGTAAAAAGAAAAAGAAGTTGTATTGCACATCTTTCAGAAAAAAATTATTTACAATTCTGAGGGAATTCAGACTTAAGCTTCCAAAATAACGTGTGTGCTGAAAGCACAAAAGACTGTGTTTATGATTCTCTTTGAAGTGTTTCTGCAACAGGATAAGGAAAATTTTAGAAACTGTCTGATAGTGTTCAGGGTAAATACTTAAACCCCTTTAGAGAATTTCACACACAGATACTGTGCAGCAGAAAAAAGGATACTTATGTTTCCTAAAGCTGCTACAGCCTACAGCTTTGTACTTAAAGACAGAGGTGTTGAATAGA